ATCTCTTTGCAGAACCCAGATTCCAAAATGATGCAAATCAACCTGACTGGTTTTTTGAATGGGAAAAATGCTAGGGAGTTCATGGGAGAACTGTGGCCACTGCTATTAAGTGCACAAGAAAACATTGCTGGTATTCCAACTGCATTTCTGGAACTGAAGAAAGAAGAAATAAAACAGCGACAGGTAGGATTTTTCTAAATGGAATTGTGGATGGGTTGTGAGCACTGGGCAGAATTAGTGGCTGTTCCAGTAGACATTTCAGGTTCTGAGCTCTGCTGTCTGGGCAGAATGTTCCAGTCCTGAAGCAGATATTTGGACATGCATATTTGATGAGGTCTGTATGCTGCCTCTGAGTTAAGTGCTGATATTTGGTTGCACAGATAGAGCAGGAGAAACTGGCTTCCATGAAGAAACAAGATGAAGACAAAGAGAAGAGAGATAAGGAAGACAAAGACAAYAGAGAGAAAAGAGACAGATCCAGGAGTCCAAGAAGGTAATGCAAATTCACAGGCAGCATATCAAGGGTACTGTAGAACAGAGGGAGGACACGTGGCAGAGGAAAATTAATTGAGCTTTGGAAATAGTGCCCTTAGCTGTTGTAGCAGGCTGGCCCGATCTACTGTGAACAGGAACTGCAAGTAAACCAGAGCAGCTTTGACATGGGCATTGTTTYGAGTGGTTTTTCTGTTCCAGGCTTTGTTAGTTTTAGTTTTGGGGGGTTGGGTTTTCTGTTTGACATCTGTATTTGTCTGTCAGTTACCAGCAGAAAGTTCAATTCTTTATGTGCTCTAAGTGCTGCAAACAGTGCTGAGTGTCCCTGGCTGCAGCAGAAAGTTCAGTTCTCTGTGTTCTCTAAGTGCTGCAGACAGTGCTGGGTGTCCCTGGCTGCAGAGGGATTTGAGCTGTAAGTGTCCCTTGTGTCCCCAGACGCAAGTCCCGGTCCCCGTCCCCGCGGCGGAGGTCGTCGCCGGTGCGCCGGGAGCGCAAGCGCAGCCACTCGCGCTCCCCTCACCACCGCACCAAGAGCCGCAGTGCCACCCCTGCCCCCGAGAAGAAAGAGGCCACTCCTGAGCCTGAGCCCTCCGTCAAACCAAAGGAGACTGTCGTGCAAGAGGCAACTTCAAACAGGTGAGTGGGACAGCTCTGCGTGGAGAGCTACAGATGGCCTTTTAACAACAGAATTATTATCTTAATACCTCCTTAGAGCTTGTCTTGGGCAATCCCTGCTTCTCCCTGCAGCAACCAAAGAATTTATTTAATAATCTTCAATAAAGTTTCATTGTCCTGTGTAGAATTCATGAGGGCAGTGTGCTTTGCTGCCATCATGATTTCATTGTCCTGGTCATCATCATCACTTGTGACAATGTAGTCTTGTCTTCYAGCAAGTTGTAATCATGTAGCCTCTTTATTATTTATTCTCCTTTTGAATCATTGTACCAAGTTCTAACTGTTTTCATAGTTCTGGAGCATCTTGTCAGAGGATGGGCAGGAGGATGTTTGTTGTAGGGGAATATCTTGGCACTTTCTAAAGTGTTACCCTRTGGACTATGGTTTGTATGTGCTTACAAATAAAGTTCTTATTTTTAACAGTGATATCCCAAAAGCTCCTAAACCTGAACCTCCTGTACCAGAGACTAAGGAAACTTCACCAGAACGTAACTCAAAGAAGGAGAGAGAGAAGGAGAAAGAGAAGACTCGYCAGAGATCCCCAACTCGGTCCAAGTCCAGGTCAAGATCCCGATCCCGTTCTCCATCTCATTCTCGACCCAGAAGGCGCCACAGATCACGGTCAAGGTAGGGCTTCGAGTGTTGGTTGTGAAAGTTGAGAATGAACATCTTCTGCTGAAGGTGCCACTTGATGTTCTTGGTTAGTGATGTTTTTAGAGTTGAGCTGTGGATGTTTTTGGCCAAATGAAGAAAGATGCATTTGGTGCATAAATGTGTTCAAGAATGTTTTGTTTGTGTTCATGAGCAGGTGCTCATTGATCAGAGGAGGAATTGGACAGCTTAATATTGATAATGGGAATTGTGTAGCCTTTCTGTAGGACATGGGTTTGATGCTGAAAATGTTGTCAAATACTTTTTTTTTATTTACTGCTTATTAGAGAGATGTTATTAAACTTCAGAGCCCTGAAAGTACATTTCACATCYTCACCTAAATACAACCTTACTAGGATGCGCCTGGAGAAAAGCARCTCTGCACTCAGTGGCCCAAGGATAAATTTCCCCAGCTAGGGAGGTTAGATAGTTGCTTTTCATTGGACTTTCTGATTGTGACAGGTCTTACTCCCCTAGAAGGCGACCCAGCCCGCGGCGCCGGCCGTCCCCACGCAGGAGGAGCCCACCCAGGAGAATGCCTCCCCCACCCAGGCACAGACGGAGCAGATCCCCTGTGAGACGGTAAGATCCCTGCTTTTTGAGACAGCTGCAAGTGCTAAACCTGGAGAGATAAAGGGACCTGTAGTTGTGTTAGCAAAATTACCACGTTCATCTCACCTGAGCACTGTCAGGTGTGTGATTRGAGTGATGGAAAAACTGCAGTAACACATTTCCTKTGTGTTGTGGGGCRACAKTTAGAGCTGGGAAATTATTTCTTCTGAGATAGAAGAGGGATGAGAATTCCATCTTTTTGAAAAGTGGCARTTTCAGAGCTGTGACTCCTTCAAATGGCTCTGGTTAGCTCCCAGCACAGACTGATGTGACATCTCTTAGGACTTTTTTGCTTAAKTCTTAATACTTTTCTTTCCTGCCTGGGGAAAAAAAATGAGACCAAGTAATTGAATTGTACTCGTTGGGAATTTTTAATTATGACTTGTATTTCTATCACATAAAATTGAATTTGGAGTTGAAATATGTTCTTTCTACGTGTTCTCTTACTTAAAATTCTTCAAGCTTTGCCCTTTGGTGTTGAAAGTCACATTTTTCACAGCATAAGAATTGTTCTAGAGGCAAAGCTCTTAGTTGCCTTGCAAAGTAAATTATGTACTTATGACAATGGCAAAAAGACATTTGTCTCCATGGGGAGAGAACAGATTCTTATCCTCTTCATAGGAATAGAATCAAAGTGATGCTTCTTGTGTACAGCAGTTATTTTTGAGGAAGGAACACTTGTCCTCCTTTTTTGTGACAATGACTATTTCCTGAGTTTGTCAATATGTTCATTTCACACAGTTACTGGGAAAACTGTGAAAAGTATCAAACATGTATGTTGCAAGATGTACAAGAGCTCCCTTTCAACAAATGTTTATCTCACTCAAGGTAGGGTTTCTTTTTTCCAGGTTCTCAGGAATTCTGCAGCCAAAGGTGGATTCTGCAGGTACACAATTGCAACAGAACTTGCCACAAATTTTGCCGCAGAATTCTGAGGCCCTACCTTTTAAAATTGCAAAGTAAAGATGAAAGACTAAAACATAAGGATGGATAGATTGATTCTGAATTGTTAAGTTGTTAAGTTGTCTGGAATTTTCACCTCCTGGTGTAAAACATTTTGGTGTACTCGCACACTAAACTCTTATCCAGATCTGCTCTGAAGATCATTTAAGTCACACATGCTAACACAGAGAATTCTCTTAACCACCCASAAGTCAGAGAGCCCAACCAAAACTAATTGTTTCCAGGGGCAAAGCTTAGCTGTAGCCTGTAGATTGACAGAAAGCCAGTGAAGGTGACACTAACAATTTTTAGCTCACTACTGTAGTTTAMGAATAACTGTGAAAGATTGGATGTTATCCTCCTCCTCTCCAAACCAAGTGTTGAAGGCTGTCCACCATGTTTGGGAAGTGCTGTTGTCTGTGGCTCAGTGTCTGTGCTTGCAAACAACCGCAGTTCTTTGTTCTTTGTGCTGCAATGTTTCCCWCTGTGGCCAGCCAGAACCTGACGTKGGGTTTGATTTGCAGGAGAAGACGATCCTCAGCCTCGCTGTCGGGCAGCAGCTCCTCCTCATCATCATCACGCTCCCGCTCTCCACCAAAGAAGCCTCCCAAGAGACCCGTGTCCAGCCCTCCCCGTAAAACCCGCCGGTTGTCACCTTCAGCCAGCCCTCCCCGGCGCCGGCACCGGCCCTCGCCCCCCGCCAGCCCCCCGCCCAAGCCCCGCAGATCTCCCACCCCCCAGCAGTCCAACCGCARCAGGAAAAGCCGCGGCTCCGTCTCGCCCAGCAGGGCTTCAGGTGAGGGAAACCATCACCTGAATGCTTGGGTTCCATTTTCCCTCCCAAGTCCACCTGTTCGTTTTGTGGGGACAGAAAAGAATGTCATGAATTCCAGCTGAGCTATTTGATTTTGTCTTGTAGCACCTAAACATAAGAGTACTGAGAAAAGAGAATCTCCTTCGCCAGCACCTAAACCCAGGAAAGCAGAACTGTCGGAATCAGGTACGGTTTTGGCTTTTCAGCTCTGCTTCTCRGTGGGGTTTTTAGTCAAAAATATGGGATAGTAAAGGGCAATGAAGTGCTGAGCCCTCCTGGCAGCCTGGCATTGAAAGCAAGAGGTTTCAGAGGTCTCAAGGTGATCACTCTGCTGCCTCATTCTATCCAAAATTGCTTGGAAAAGAAGCCCAGCCAAAGTGTATTCCACCCTTATTTTAAGATTTGAATGGGAAACCCCAGGCATGATGCTCTGCTGTCCATGACTTTGCTTCTGCTTGAGTAAGGCAATTTTGTGTCCTTGGTTTAAGTGCCCTGTCCTTGTGTGTCCTTCCAGAAGAAGACAAAGGAGGCAAAATGGCTGCAGCAGATTCTGTGCAACAGAGGCGCCAGTACAGGAGGCAAAACCAACAGTCTTCATCTGGTATGGAGGAGAGGAATTCCCTAAAACTGGGTCGTAGTTTACTTTTGCAGAAAGTAGTTCATTTTAATCTGTATTTGAACTTATTTGCTYTGTGCTCTGCAGTGCTGTTGCAAACCAAATTACAAATTTGCCACTCGAGGTCACTTTATTGCTTAGGAAGAATAACAAGTATGRCTTTTGAAGGTTATTTTTTGTTCATGGATTTTCATCTTTAAAAGTTGCACTTCTRAACTCTTAACATCACACACAAATASRGTGTGCTATGGATTGCWTCATCTKTTCTTATTTTGGACTCTTAYRCTTGAGATCARTAAATTCRCCTGGGTATTTTTGTCCACAKAATGTTTCAAAAAGCAACTGMAGTTCACCTTTTACATGACCTGTCTAGTCAAATTTTGGGGGACAGTTAGATTGCTACAAGTATTTTCACTCAGCTCTGGTAGATTTATTTATCATTTGGCCTGAGTCAACACTTTCAGTTGATCTGCTTTTAAATTTTGAGCTCTTGTTTTGCGAGAGAGGAGGTTGGTTAGAACTGCAGCATAGCCCTGCCAGTGACTGATCAGTGTCACCAGGAGCATTTTCCAGAGAGTGATTCTTCTACATTTGCAGATTCTGGTTCTTCATCTTCCTCAGAAGAGGAGAGGCCCAAGAGGTCCAACGTGAAGAACGGGGAGGTGGGCAGGCACCGCCGCCACTCGCACTCGCGCAGCCCCTCGCCATCGCCCCGCAAGCGGCAGAAGGAATCCTCCCCTCGGTAACTCTGCTTGAAAATTCACCCATTCTTTCTGTTATTTAATGTTTATCTGCTCTGCAACTGCCACCAAATAGGCATCAAGTCATGCCCATTTTGCCCAGTTTTTTTTGAAGATTTCCAATGAAAATGGCTCTGACCTTTCTCTGAACATGTTCATTTTCATCTCAGATAAGTGGCAGATAGATCTGTTTTGTTTTGTTTTCCCTCCACTGCTCTCAGGATGCAGATGGAAAAGAGGTGGCARTCGCCAGTGATGAAAAGGTTGGTTAGAAATTCATCTCTTACAGAGGCTGTCATTTGTCTTGGCATGGAGAAGCATTTGCCATCCTTTGTCCTTTGGACTTGCACACTCCTGATGAGGGAAATTCAGACTGATGTGCTCTTTAATGTGTTGGATCTGGAGCCATTTCACTGGCTAAAAAAGAGAAGGAACACCCCCTGCTGTGTGTCCTTCACTGCTCACTCCTTAATTCACATCAGCCTGTGACATCAATAACATCCATGTTACTGCATCTCACTGATGCCTGAAAACAGCTGAGCACTTGTGTTCCTTGGGCTCCTCACTCCAGACACCCAGCTTTGGGTGAGCAGTGTTGGATTCCTGCTGCCACTGACTAAACCCTCCAGGATTAAGATCCTGATCTTCTGGGTCACAGATGATTGGAGCTCTCGAAAGTCTCATTCCTCAGTTCATGAGAATTTGGAACTGCTGGAAGTAGACTATGAGTGAAACAGGAGTGACTTTCTTATTTATGACATTGTTTGCTCTGTGTTGATGTGGGAATACAGAAAGGTGCAGGAAGCTGGGTGCTTGATGGGTTTATTAATTGGGTGTAATGACCCTTGAGCAGGCTGTAATTAAGCCTAGGAGCAGATACTCGGCACACATCACGATGTGTGAGATAAGGCTGAGTACCTCAAACACGTAACCTTCCTAATTATGGATCCTGGCAAACAATTCCATGGCAAACAGGCTGCATTCAAAAGCTTTCATTTTGTTTCACAACACATTGAATTCACCTACTGCCTATTGCATATATACACATTTAATTAGGACAATTAGTACGTWTGAAGGCTGGGGTTTTTTTGGATCATAAAAGAACATTGTATTTTGGAGCAAACTCCTTATCTATAAAAGCGTGTCCCATTGCCTTGGAGAACAATACCCAGCATACTTGAAATCAAATCTCACTTTATGGAAATGAGCTGCTTTGCTTTTTAATTGCTCTCATTTTTCCCTTATCCAGACATTTTATCTTAATTGCTTTTTGTTAAAAAAAGGAATATTTCGCTTTACCAATATTCCTCTCCTTTAAAATTCCASGCAAGTGTGTGTTGGATTAAAATTCCCCCTTCCAGAAGTCTGTTGTAAACCCTGTTCAACAGAAAATGGCTCATTTGGTGAACAGTTCTAATCCAGAGAGCTGCAGTTTAGCAACCACTATGGKTTTTTCACTGTATTTCAAGAAATAAATTATTTTGGATTTCAGATCTGTAGCTAAAAGCTATTTTCAGGAGCACAGTTTCACACTGTGAAGAAAATTAACTCCATCCTAGGCAAAGTCAGCACATGATCCATCCCTTATTCCAACCATTTGGTCTTTCTGTGGCTACAGGGTGGTGATGGATCAGGTTGTAGAATTGTGTCCTGGCTGCTGAGGTGGGCTCAGGGTCACAGTCAAACAYGTCTTGTCTCACACTCATCAGAAAGACTTAACTGCATTTTTCCATCAGTGCTCCCAGCAGAATTTCATTTTAAAGTGCMTGAAGGAGCTGATTTTATGTCATAAGAGCAGAACACAAAGAACCTCATGGCTCAGCTGGAAGTTTTCTGATAAATCCCTGTTTTTCTGCAGCAGGAGGAGGAGGAGCCCCTCACCGCCCCCGGCCCGAAGGCGCCGCTCCCCTTCCCCGGCCCCTCCACCCCGGCGCCGCCGCTCCCCGACCCCGCCCCGC